TTTATTACTATTTTTTTTAGAAAGAAAAAATGAATAAAGATGAAAGATTCACTTGAAAACCCAATTGTGTATCTAGATTAAAAGTTAATCACTGAGTACCGGTACAGATCCATTAAATATGTTATGATTTCCAAACAATTGAAACGAAAGTTCCAGGATGTTGTATCCTCGAATTGATACGGATGTGAAACTTATAAAGGTGCATGCTACATTTATTAGCAAATTATTCAGGAAAATTCTCCTCGAATTGATACGGGTGTGAAACTTATAAAGGTGCATGCTACATTTATTAGCAAATTATTCAGGAAAATTACTGGCGTGGTTTTTATTTTCACATGATACGTTTCCTAAATTTTCTAACGATGTTCTAAAAACTCTAAGATACTTTATCTTGAAAATAAAACAAGAATAACAATTAAGAACAAATTATTTCAAGTAATAGAATAAAATAAGACAAATAGAACATATATAATATTAAAACATGACAATCTGAAGAATGATAGCATTATTTAATGTTTCCATTGTAAAAACAAAAGACGTGTTGATATAGTAAGGTTAACTTATATTTCATCTGACGTTCTCCTACAAAGAAACCAAAACAGACTTGTCCAAAGTCGGTTTCGTACGTTAAACATTCCGTTTGAAACAGGAATCAAGCAGTGTAGTTTTTGTAGACTGCTCTATATAAAGAAAAGTTATGGGTGTTATTAATGCTACTAGTATGGTTTTAGTTTAAAACCATATATGGATTGAGTTTGTTCCACACAACATCCAGAAATATAAACAATCTCCTAAGTGACACCAAGGAAGCTACAGAAGTCATTAATAATTAACATAGATTTTTATATGGTTTAGTAGAGTTAAGGGTTCAAAACAAAGCTATTTCTACGTAAACGAAAATACGTCATATCATAGTTCGCAACTCTTACGTGTTTACTTATTTTCTTAACGTAAACCTTCGCCTACTGCAAGGATTGAACCCAGAATTGTAACACTTTAAGCCATTTAGCATACACCTGAAGCATTGTTTAATTGATATACATAGCTTTTCCACTAAGTGATTCTACATATATAACTCTGTAACAAGCTTTTATCTGTAAGATAACTAACGCAGTTATATGATAAATTTCACTTTGATAAGAGCATTAATATATTGAATATATAAGCAGTTGCTCTACCAACATACTGCGTTATTTAGAAAAACACAAATAAATATAATGAACCTTTATTTTCCAGTATTACATGAAAATAATTATTGTTTTTGAACAAATTTTGTCATCTTTTTTATAAAATTTTATATATGTTCAAATGTTATATTATCGCCATGTTTTATTTGTTGTGGAGATTATTTTGCATTGTTAGCTTATTAATGAATGAGAACTACCCTAAACATTTTAATCAGGCAATACCTCCACATATACTTCTAGGATTATGTCCGAAAACATCGATAACTGATGAATCATTATATTTTTATAACACGGTTATTTAGAGTGATATATTAAACTACATATAATATTTTCTGAGTTAATTAGCCATACAAGGAATACGATTTTATATTCTAAACCAAATACAAAGGTGAATTATAAAACATCATTTTATTTGTTACTCTAAGCTAATTGGTTGTTTGGACATGTTTTGGTGTATTGCCGCTGTATTGAATTATACCAACACATTATTTCTCGAAATAGTGTTACTGTAATACAAATTGAATACAAAATTGCTGTAATATATTTTCGGCCTTCCATATTAATCTTCGTTTTATATTAGTTATTCACGAACTAGAATGAATTTTGATATAAACACGTGTTTGTAAATTCACGTTATTCGTTTTGTTGACTTCACACTCTTAGCAACAAACTAATGTTGTCTTAGTAAAAAATGTATTATAATAAAATGTCTAAATTTTGAATAAATTCTATATAACACTCAGAGTAAACAAATATTTTTTATTGTAAAACTGATACATTTACATTCATCTTCAATTAATTACACCCCCAGAAAGTCGTCTAGTGTGGAAACGTGCAAGCGATTTATAGCTCAGAGATGGGCAGAGTTGTTTTGTTCAATTTCAGGCAGGGTCAAAAGTCAAAGGCGATTTTCTGGAACATAAAATAATTTGATAAGTACTTGTATTGTTAGTTGTAAAAACATAACTCTTTGTATTTCATAATTTTCCATTAATACCGAAGTGAAGTGTTATTCAGTTAGTAAGAGTAACATAAAATCTTATTAACTTAAGGAAACTTTCTATTCCTTTCAAACACAAAAACATAGATGTTACTGGCTATGTTGTTTCACTTACCATTTAGTGAAGTAAGGCTTTACCCAGACCAGCACCATAGTATCCGTTCAGTCCATAGGCGCCGCCGAGTCCGTAACCATGGCCTAAGGCGCCGCCGAGTCCGTAACCATGGCCTAAGGCACCTCCGAGTCCATAGCCGAGCCCAAGTCCATGGCCTAAACCTAAGGCGCCACCGAGTCCGTAACCGTAGCCTAAGGCACCGCCGTATCCAAGACCGACCCCAAGTCCATGGCCTAAACCAAAGGCACCGCCGTGGTTCACGTTGGAAATGGAGGAAGCAGCACGTCCAACAGGAACTCCGCGCAGGATGGCACCTTCACGAGCGGCAGCAGCTCCTTGGGCAGCGGCAACTACTCCTTGAGCAGCGGCAGCAGCACCAGTAGGGTCAGGACCAGCATAGCCTGCTGCATAAGCTGGGGCAGCAACAGCGGCAGGAGCGATGACACCTGCTCCGTACCCACTCAAATAACCAGCCTGAGAACAGGCCAAGAGGCCAAGAAAGACAGCGGCAAACTAAGGCAAGAAAAAGATAGATCGTGTCATTAATACGGATCTATATGTCACAAATATAAAGATTTTGTTTATTATACACACAATATATATATATCATTAACTTTAATCAATGATTAAACATTGTAATTAATTAAAACTAAACATATATATACTTCTAAATACGGAAGTATTCACGAAAATATTTTTGGTTATTCAGCTTTTTCTTATGTAATACGTATTAAATTATTTTGTGGAGAAACAAATACCAGCAATTAACTTGTTTTCATAACGATTTTTAAACCAGTCATGTTTCCAATTATTTACTGGCTTACGGCGTTTAAACCGTAACTTTTAGAATATGTATTCTGTTTCTATGTGTGTCTACATCCAATCGATATTCTTTGATGTCAAGAAAAGATACAGGAATCACTTTTTTTATTGATAGACAAAAGTTTTCTACTGCACTTCTAAATGTAAGGCACTTCTAAAGGTTAAAATGTGAGGCATTTTAAATAAATACCACAAAAAGGTTCAGTTAAAGTGTTTATCGAAAGAATTAATGAAATCAAGGTTGTGAGGGATTGTACTCTCCTGAAATACATATTTCACACATAGGGTCAAAATAGGGGTGTAATTTACTCCGAGATCCTACACTGTATTACTGGTTGTACGTTTCGAAGGAGTAATTTTTAAACGGATTATGATATACTTACAAACTATTAATGTCCAAAGAATGATTTCTCAGCTCGTAACCGTCGACGAAGAGACAAAAACAGAACCATTTTTATGTGTGTTGGTAATTCAATGTCTTGTGGGCCTTTCACACTTTGATTCTTTTTATATTGACTGTATGAACGTGTAAAACATCAGAAAAAAAAAGTCCTAGATTTTCTTTATAATTTTTATATGTGTTGGTAATTCAATGTCTTGTGGGCCTTTCACACTCTGATTCTCTTTATATTGACTTTATATGAACGTGTAAAACACCAGAAAAAAAAGTCCTAGATTTTCTTTATAATTTGAGTGGATCAAAAGTATTGTTTATTTGTTTGTTTTTGAATTTCGCGCAAAGCTACACGAGATCTATCTGCACTAGCTGTCCCTAATTTAGCAGTGTAAGACTAGAGGGAAGGCAGCTAGTCATCACCACCCACCGCCAACTCTTGGGCTACTCTTTTACCAACGAATAGTGGGATTGACCGTCACATTTTAACGCCTCCACGGCTGAAAGGGCGAGCATGTTTGGTGGGACGGGGATTCGAACCCGTGACCCTCAGATTGCGAGTCGAGCGCCCCAACCACCTGGCCATGCCGGGCCATGATCAAAGGTGTTTTGTTAGGTTTGGTGGCCAATTTCTGAAGCTAAGTCTCGGAACTGACCTTGATATACAGCAGTTTCAAAATCAGCTGGACCAAATAGTAGGAATCCCACCGTATTCTATATATACGCATAAATTCTTTAACAATCATTTTCCAGAGCTATTTTCCGGATATGGGATCAGATAATGAAAAAAGTTATTACGAAATAATAGGGAAGCTAACAGTTCCCAAATGTTTGTTTGTTTGTTTTTAATTATGCACAAAGCTACTCAAGGGCTATCTGTGCTCTGCCCACCACGGGTATCGAAACCCGGTTTCTAGCGTTGTAAGTCCGCAGACATACCGCTGTGCTACTGGGGGGCCCCAAATGTTTCCAAAACTTTAAGATTTCTTTGATATCTTAATTACTGACTTGTCACCCGTTTATAAATTGGAATTATAAGTTTTTCATTGCCAAGTTTTCTGAATCAATAATCTTCTGTAATATGATTGGCCCTTAACATTATATCAAACTATGCAATCTAGCAATAAAATTAGATTTAGAAAATTATGTTGTTGTTCGTTGTTGAGAAAAAGCTTTTAATGCTGTACTGTAGGTATATTTTGTCATATTAAATTGTTTTACAACCTATGAAACAGTGAAACCTTGAAAAAGACACCTTCCGAAATAGTGGATTCAAATGAATAATTGTATAGTTTGTTACTTCAAGATAAAATTTCAACACTTCACACTGGCTTAGAAACTTTGAAGCCAAAAATATAACCACTACTAAAATAACACTGTTATTTTTTAATTTGTATTATTTGTTACTTCTAGACAAGGGCCCCCCAGTGGTATAGCGGTATGTCTGCGGACTTACAACGCTAGAATCTGGGTTTCGATGGTGGGCAGAGCACAGATAGCCCAATGTGTAGCTTTGTGCGTAATTACAAACAAACAAACAAAATGTAGACAAGGTTTCAAAACTTCACGTTGGCTTCAAAGTTTGAAACCAAGAAGAAAAACATTAAAAAACTAACACTGTTATAAGTTTAAACTTAAACACAAAATGCTTAAATAAACTAAACTTGTCTATAGTTCTAGAATTACCAATGGGCACAGTTCTAATCTCTTTACTATATTTGTTACAAAACATTATAAAACTAACACTGTTATAAGTTTAAACTTAAACACAAAATGCTTAAATAAACTAAACTTGTCTATAGTTCTAGAATTACCAATGGGCACAGTTCTAATCTCTTTACTATATTTGTTACAAAACATTATAAAACTAACACTGTTATAAGTTTAAACTTAAACAGAAAATGCTTAAATAAACTAAACTTGTCTATAGTTCTAGTATTACCAATGGGCACAGTTCTGATCTCTTTACTATATTTGTTACAAAACATTATAAAACTAACACTGTTATAAGTTTAAACTTAAACAGAAAATGCTTAAATAAACTAAACTTGTCTATAGTTCTAGAATTACCAATGGGCACAGTTCTGATCTCTTTACTATATTTGTTACAAAACATTATAAAACTAACACTGTTATAAGTTTAAACTTAAACACAAAATGCTTAAATAAACTAAACTTGTCTATAGTTCTAGAATTACCAATGGGCACAGTTCTGATCTCTATATTGTTACAAAACATTATAAAACTAACACTGTTATAAGTTTAAACTTAAACACAAAATGCTTAAATAAACTAAACTTGTCTATAGTTCTAGAATTACCAATGGGCACAGTTCTGATCTCTTTACTATATTTGTTACAAAACATTATAAAACTAACACTGTTATAAGTTTAAACTTAAACAGAAAATGCTTAAATAAACTAAACTTGTCTATAGTTCTAGTATTACCAATGGGCACAGTTCTAATCTCTTTACTATATTTGTTACAAAATCTTTAACAACGTACGAGTTACATACAAATACTGTCAATATTGCAATGTTTGTTTATTTTAGAGCAGATTCACACTGGACTATCTGTTGTGCCCACCCACTAGAGGAATTTAACCTCGATTTCTGCGTTCATAATATTATCACGGCCCTGCATAGCCAGGTGGTTAGGGCGCGGGTTCGAATCCCTTTCACCCCAAACATGCTCGCCCTTTCAGCCTTGGGGGCGTTGTAATGTGACGGTCAATCCCACTATTCGTTGGTGGTGATGACTAGATGCCTTCCCTCTAGTGTTACACTGCTAAATTAGGGACGGTTAGCGCAGATAGCCCTCGAAATTCATGACAAACAAAGAAACATAATCTTATCACTGTCCCATCCGTGGACATCCCACTAATTACTACTGGTCAACATTACATGATTTATATTACATGGGAATGAGCAATTTCACCCTTGTTTGAGAGTAAGTGTTTTTACACAGAATGTTGTAGCAGGCCGAAACACACCATTACCAAAAATAATGCAATATGTGGACCCTACCGGTATAGTAAACGGATTATAAACAAGTTCTGTAACTTGAGAGTTGACTAAAGGTAGCCACAGCCTGTTTTTCTTCTGTTATTTTCACTCAATACCATTTACAATACATATAATTTGATATTCATCTTGGAATGAGGAAAACACAACAACAACAACACATACAACGTAAGCGTACTTACATTTATTGGTCTACAAACAGCAGAATTCTCTACTATTTCTTTTCTTTCTAACATTTAGTTTAAAATAATGTATATTAAACTAAAAAACTTAAATCTTATTATATTGCTGTCCTTGAGTTTGTTTACCTTCTATTAGCTGCTCCTTTAGTGGCTACGTGAGATATACATGATTAGAAATTTGGAATATTTCCTGTATTCATACTCAATGTAGACAAACGCCCAAAGAACGTGAAATGCCTATAAAAAAAGGAAAAAAAATACACCTGATTTGCATAAGCTACGCTCTAATATTTAATGTGTGTACTGTAAGTGTGACAGTTATGTAGATAATGATATCTAACTGAAGGCCAACAGTCGTGTTCACCTACTGGTTTGGATTGGTTAGCCTTGGACAGAGTACACAGACATGATTTTTTGACCTGAAAGACCATACACGTCTAGATGAAGGTGAGATATGAAATGACAACAGTTTTTTGTGTATTGAATATATGTATAAAAGACTTGAGTGAAACAGTCTACAGTACACTACTGGTTTATCTCCCAGAAGTCGTAACTGTAAAAATGCTGGTAAGTAAAACTCTCGCTTGTGATGAATTATAGTTTTAAATACTGGTGCGTTTAAAGTGAAAATGGAAAAGAGTTACCGTACTTTATCTTAATTTGTCTGTTGCAACTCGAAAATCAGAGGTGCCTAAAAACTACCATTTCGGATCTATCTTTTGTCTAATAAACATTTCGTTGGATACCAGAACTCGTGATTTGGAGTGGATGATCAGAGACAAAGATGTAGCTTTTAATGTGTTATGCTGTTTAAATTAGAGTTTAATGGAATATTTTCAAACGGATTTTTAATGTCGTGTATTAAAATACAGGGTTATTCAAAATCCTATTTTTACAGACGTTTGAAACATGCACTATTGACATTACGACACAATGTTATAACAGGGTCATCTCCACATCTTTTACGATACAAAGTATACATATGAAAGTTTGTGACTTTTGAATTATCCTGTACATTATTTTGATTCCTTTGTGTCCACTCATTGCCAGGCTGAATACTTTTTTGGTGATTTGTTTTACAAAGAATCTCTGGGTCAGCCAGACCACGTACGGTATTTCATCGCCAGGAGGCGCACACAGAGAATAGATATAATTAATTCAGACTCTTAAATTTATTCCCAAGTCTCTTATTGTTATAATAAATTTACCCTTCAGTCGCACAGTCTGCGGAATTACAACGCTAGAAACCAGGTTTCGATACCTAAATTTCTTCCTGAGATTCTATTATTGTAACCTTAATTGAACCTCTTAGTTTTCTTCCTCAGTTTCTTGTTAATGTTATCGTATTTAGATTGTTATTGCTACGTTATTATAAGTACGAATTTTGTATCATATCCTCAGATCTTCATAACATCAATGAAAGATTGGTATCAATCAAAGATTGGTATCTTATCTGTCTCTTGTATTTAACCTATTTGTGTTGCCCAGTGGTTAGTGTGCTGGACTGTGAATCTGGTGCAAGCTTGGTATCTTATCTGACTCTTGTATTTAACCTATTTGTGTTGCCCAGTGATTAGTGTGCTGGACTGTGAATCTGGTGCAAGCTTGGTATCTTATCTGACTCTTGTATTTAACCTTTTCGTGTTGCCCAGTGGTTAGTGTGCTGGACTGTGAATCTGGTGCAAGATTGGTATCTTATCTGTCTCTTGTATTTAACCTCTTTGTGTTGCCTAGTGATTAGTGTGCCGGACTGTGGATCTGGTGCAAGATTGGTATCTTATCTGACTCTTGTATTTAACCTATTTGTGTTGCCCAGTGATTAGTGTGCTGGACTGTGAATCTGGTGCAAGATTGGTATCTTATCTGACTCTTGTATTTAACCTATTTGTGTTGCCCAGTGATTAGTGTACCGGACTGTGAATCTGGTGCAAGCTTAGTATCTTATCTGACTCTTGTATTTAACCTATTTGTGTTGCCCAGTGGTTAGTGTGCTGGACTGTGAATCTGGTGCAAGATTGGTATCTTATCTGTCTCTTGTATTTAACCTATTTGTGTTGCTCAGTGATTAGTGTGCTGGACTGTGAATCTGGTGCAAGCTTGGTATCTTATCTGACTCTTGTATTTAACCTTTTTGTGTTGCCTAGTGATTAGTGTGCCGGACTGTGGATCTGACGGTCTAAGGATGGCGTCTCCTTGTTGAAAAAGAACATCATGATCCGCGCTCAGGGGTCGTGGGTGCGTGATAAGAGTTGTGATCAAAACCCACTATTCAGTTATTGTAGCCAAATCGTCTTCAGTGAACATTGGTAACTAGTTGACTTTCCTCAGGACTATCAGTTAAAGATTACGGATGGCTAACACAGATAGTCCTTGTGTAACTTTACACGATTATCCGAAACAAACAATTATTGAACCGTATTACTGGTTCTCAGGTTTCCCTTTCGAATGTGATAGCTAGCAAGCTCGTGCTTTATTTATACACTTTTCCACTCAGTAAAAATAAATTTAAAGTCTAAGACTTTTCACAAAACGTGTTTAAACTGTTATGCTTTAAATTACTATATAATTTC